AAACCCAAACCCGCTAAGCCCTAAACCCTAAACCCTAAACCTTAAACCCAAAGCCCCAAACCCTAGACCCGAGACTGTCGGGGTTTCGGGACTTTCAAGTTTTTGGCTGCGGGATGCGAAGCGTTTCATGGTGTACCTGTAATTTTGGGTCTAGGGTTTAGGGCGGCCACAAGCCCTAAACCCTAAACCCGACACCCTAACTCCTAAACCCTAAACCCTGAGCCCCAGGCAGTATGCCTTAGGGCTGGTCCAGCGGTTGTTCTGACAGTGACCCTAGACCCTAGCCGATTGCAACCAAGACTCTCGCCCTGTTCTGCGTTCAGAGTTTACGTCTTAAGGGTTTAGGGTTCACTTGTTGGCTGTTGGGTTCAGGGCCTACGGCTTAAGGGTCTAACATTTACGGTTAGAGGTTTAGGTTGTAATTGTAGCGGCTGTTGTGAAGATAGGCGACGGCACACATCTGCAAGTATGAGACATCGCCACATGTTCGTACGGCTAGTTCTGCAGGTCACCGTTATCGGTATTGTTGTTGTCAACTCGTCGCTATGGCAGCAACATCTTCAAGTATCTTCCATGACGTTCTTGTTGCTCTCACTGCTTGCTCTGTTCTTGCGAGTTCTGAATGCTAGTTTTATACTCTGCGGAGTTCTGACTGACGTTCGTATGAATTTCTAGCACAAGCTCCTCATCCTTTTGTCCTGGATGCGCTTATGACTACGGATGTTAATACATTCTTCGCATCACTAACAACCTTACACGGAGCAGCGGCGAAAGTCTAACAACACTGATAAAATCTCTATTTGTGATAGCGACGGCATCACACTCATCTCATCGACCCCCAACAAACAGAATTCGTTAACCTCAGCGGCAATCGCATGAAAACCCACATTCCCGAAACTTGCAAACAAAACCAACCGAGCAGAGCCTCGGGAGGATCTACTGCGTCGTAGGTTTGGGGCCCCCCCACAGTATGACGTGTCTATGAGACCGTAAGGGAGATTGCTGAGTTTCCCATAGCGCCACCTAGGATACAATTCTCTACGATTCTCTACAAACCCATGAGAGCAGAAGATACGTGGAACGACCTGCAGTGCCACTTACACCCTCTAGCATACAGGTTAAGGACGCCATGCACATCCCTAAAGCCTAAACCCTAAACTCCATAAACCTAAACTCTAAAGCTGCGTAAACCCTACACTTTAGAAACCCTAAACCATTTAAACCCTGAGCCCTCCAACCCTAAATTCTAGAAGCCCTGAAACCCACACCTGGAACCCTACAAACCCCTACACCCCAAACTCTCAACTCTACAAACCCCGAAACCCTAAACCCTAAACTCTACAAGCCCCTAAACCCTAAACCTCCTCAAAACTGGCCTTGGGTTCGAGGCTGAAGCTCCTCCGATCCAATCTTTCTGGCGGTTTCGCCAAGAACCCATCGACGAGGAGTCGTCATGAAGCGTCTTCTCTGCCTGAGGGTGTTTTAGGGGTTTAGGGTTTAGGGTCAATGTCATAGGAGCATTCTCCCGCAACTCGCACGTGGCTTGCAATGTGCTCCCAGGTAGGAAAACAGGAATCAAATAGCCAGTATAATATTTATCAAACGGAACTAAAGAGTGGTCATAGTAAGAGCCACAGTCACAATAGTAGTGAGAGACACAAAGGCAAGACTCCCTGTCGTGATATTGGCGGTAGTGGTACCAGTAGTCCGTACTGGTGATAGTAATGGTCGTAGTCGTCGACGTCGTCATCGTCGTGGCCGCAGTAGCAGCTAGCAACAGCGCTAGCAGTAGCACCAGTGCGAGTGGCAGCAGCAGCAGCAGTAGCCTCAGTAGCAGTACCAGTAGGAGTGTACATCAAGAGGTTACATAATTGGAACAGGTTTCGGAGTGCAGATTTACGGAATGCACAAAAGCACTGCAATATTCTACTAGCGACATCTCAAGCCTCCCTGGACCTGCAGAGCCAAAATAAGAAAAAAATCTTCTATCGCTCGGGTTCTCAAGCACAAGTATACAATACTTGCTGAGGAGACCCCAGAGACAGGCCTCTCTGTTCTGTAGCGCAAAACAAGGAAGACCCTAGCCAGCAGCAAAGCACAGCGCAAGCAAAACGAGGAATATGCCCACTGAGCCAAGAAACCAGCAACTGCTTGGAACAAGCATTCCAGAAACATTTCCAGCAGCCACTGGGTCATCGGCGTACTGCACCGAAGATCCAGAATATTCTGGAGGTGCATGCAGGCCGAATCACGATGCCATGCCACCCAGTCCCAACAGGGATCCTGCACTGTTGTGGATTGTCACCGTGCCGGAACAAACACTGCATGCACGTATCATGCATATACTGATATACTATACTCAGCCTACAAAGCCCTCTTCTAATCATGAAGAGCCCCTGTGCTGCTTGAATACACCCGACAAACTATGCCACGCCCTTCCACAGCCAAGCGGCCCAATTCCTGCTTGCCCAGACCCTACACCACGGATCGAGAACCCCTGGTCCAGACGCGTCGGACCCCCTCTCTGCCAATCCTCGGGAGCCACGATAGGGGCCCCTGAAAAAATTGAACAGGGTTTTGGGGTACAATGGTGTAAGGACAAAAAGGGGTGGCATTACTACTTGTCATCTACCGACCGCATATGAAGTTCACATGGAGCTAAAGGAGCTGAACAAAAAGCTTTTTAGGCTTTACAGTCCAATGAAGGACTAGAACGATGGCACGCATGTTGTCGTCTGAATAAAGCACAATCATGGTGTGCCAACTCGCTAGATGAAGGCATCAACCGTCATCACATATAGCATAAGTTGCTGTAGGAAGCGATCCAGCTTTATCAGGCATCCCAAGAATGTACTGATGGGCTTTGTCACGCCTAATGTTTCGACTCGAAAGATTAGGCAGGGCTGCAAGTATCAGTATAAGTCAATATAGGTCTGCAAACGAAAGGCAAAAACTCACTTTTCAGCGGCATTGTCGTCGTCGCCGCCACCGTGACTGCCATCAACGTCGACGCTGTCGTCGTCGTCGTCGTCGTCGTCGTCGTCGTCGTCGTCGTCGTCGTCGTCGTCGTCTTCGTCGTCGTCGTCCTGGCTATCATCATCATCATCATCACGACAAACATCAGCCGCCACCACCACCACCACGGCAACGACAACAACAACCCTCGCAAAGATGAACCACAAACGTCATCTTCCTCTCGTCCTTCATCGTTATCGCCAAACTCATCATCACCACCATCATCAAACCACACAACCTACGATCTTGCGCAGGTCTGCACAGCTTCGAGACACCCTGACGTGAGGCTTGAAGTTTAGGATTTGCGTAGTTCTCCATATATGGGGTCCCTTTAGGGTTTAGGGTTTAGGGTTTAGGGATTAGGATTTTTGGGTCCCGAATATAGTACGGCACCATTATAAAGGAGACCCTAAAAGGGAACCCTAATTTGGAGCTACCCATTTAGGTTTCGGTGTGATTTCAAGGCCGCTAAACCCTAAAGCAAATCATGGATGGAGAAGGAGTTGTCAATTTTGGGAATATGGGATGTTATGTTTTACACGTCTACGCATCATCGACAATCGGTGCACCTGCCGCAACAGTGAACGCTAAACCCAACCTCTTGTAGCACAACTAGAAGCCATTGACTCGAGGCAATGAAGACTTGACTCTTACTGATGTGCGAAACCATCCTGGTCTCACGAAAAGAGCATTACTGATGCCAATTACTGGAGCTGGACCCTAAACCCTAAAGCTTATGAGTCTTGGCATTACTCAAAAGATCAAGATTGATTGGGAACTATAGCAGGTCCTTGCAGACCCTTCCGACGTAAGCCTACCAAGCACCCCTGACATACACGTCATCTTTGCACAAGGGTTTAGGGCTTAGGGTTTACGGATGAATGCTTCTGTGGACTGTTAGTTGTGATCTCCTTAACCGATTGTCAGACGGCACCTGTTTTTCCAGACAGCTTATATTTCTTTCCTTGCTATGGATTCTGCACTAAAGACCCCGACTGTAGCTGTTTCCAACCGTTTCCAATGCTTGCCGTGCCTCTATTCCGAGTCCAAAGTCTTCAGTCTCCAGTTTAGGGTTTAGGGTTTAGGGTTTAGGGTTTAGGGTTTAGTGTAACTGTTCAATCCTAAACCCTCACCCCAAGCCCTCAATGTTTCCGGGCAAGGTGCTGGAACAGCCGCACTTGTGCATAAGCGGCCCTTTCGGGAGGCAACGGCAAGTACCGGAGCGTAGGGAAGCCAAGCATGAAAGCTCGAATTGCCTCGGTTCCGGGTTTAGGGCTTAAGGTCTAGGGTTTAGGGTTCGCTTCAGGCGTCAGGGTGTTCATGTGCTCAAGCAAAGATTGCCTTCAATCTTCCGGGAAACTGCACCTCAGACTGAAACAAACCTGATGAAGACTTCAACCCTAGGCCCTAGAACACTGCTTGGCCCCGCAAAATCTTATCTAAAAGCGTAGAAACGCCACTAAACCCTAAACCCTAAACCCTAAACCCTAAACCCTAAACCCTAAACCCTAAATTCTAAATCCTAAACCCTCAACCCTCTCCTCAAAGACTCCTCGGTCCTTGCAATCTGGTGGCCCCCAAAGTTCCAGGCATTGTGTAGGCAGTCCTAGACAGGGTCGGTTTAGGGTTTAGGGTTTAGGGTTTAGGGTTTAGGGTTTAGGGTTTAGGGGTTAGGGTTTAGGGTTTAGGGGTTAGGGGTTAGGGATTAGGGTTTAGGGTTTAGGGTTTAGGGTT